CTTCAAACGGTCGCACTCAAACTCCCCCATTTGGTTAAATAAACCCCCTCAATGGCTTTGAATACGGCGGTCACAAAGGACCCAATACCCACACCACTCTGAACCTCTCTGCAACTCCTTCTCCACCAATGCATTCCCCAGACCTCCAAAGACCTCACCTTTAATGGCCGCCGTCGCCACCACTGCCGCCTTCCACCACCTCTCTCTCACTCCCAAGCTCCCAACTTTCCTACTCCCCGCAACCCCCTTAGCAAAACCCAGGTAACCGAATTCCTTCTCTCTCTCTCTCTCTCTCTCTCTCTCTCTCTCTCTCTCTCTCTCTCTCTCTCTCTCTATCTAACAACTCTGTTTTTCCATTGCAGGACCTTGAAGCTGAAGATCACCTTCTGTTTGTCTCTACAGCAATCCAATGACCAAGCTCTCGCAACCCAAAACGCCGCCGTCGACAACCTCCGCGTGGTCTTCGCCGCAGGCGGCACCGGAGGCCACATATACCCGGCCGTAGCCATAGCCGACGAGCTCCAACTCACAAAACCCTCCTCCAAAATCCTCTTTTTGGGTTCACCAAACAGCATGGAAAGCACCGCAATACCCTCCGCCGGCTACGACTTCGACACCGTGCCCACCACCAAATTACACCGCCCAATATTCTCCCCCCGGAACCTCCTCCTCCCCTACAATTTGATCAGGTCCGTCGTCCACAGCTACTCAAAATTGCGCGACTTCGGCCCCCATGTCGTCATCGGCACCGGCGGGTATGTCTCCTTCTCTTTAGGCTTGGCGGCGAAGCTGATTGGCGCCAAGCTTGTGATCCAAGAACAGAACGGCGTTCCGGGAATCGCCAATTGGGTTCTGTCATTTTTTGCAGATGTTGTGTTTGTAGCTTACAATTGCACCATTGATTGTTTCCCGAGTGGTAGGACTAAGTGTGTGGTTTGTGGGAATCCGGTGAGGTTGTCCTTGAAGAAGCAAGTGCCTAAGGCGGCGGCAACAGGGCGGTTTTTTCCCAAGGCCGGCGGAGTTGGGGAGTTGGAGAAGGCTAAGGTTCTTTTGGTTCTTGGCGGGTCTTTGGGGGCTAATGCTATTAACATTGCTTTGCTGAATTTGTATTATCAGATGCTGCTGGAGAATGATAACTTGTTTATCATTTGGCAAACAGGAGTGGAGGTTCACAATGAAATGGAGAGCCTTGTTAAGAATCATCCGCACTTGCTATTGACGCCGTAAGTGCTTCTGCTTTTCGGTTATGAACTTCTAATAAAAGTTACTTCTGTACGATGAAATGCTGAAATTTTAGAACTCATTCGTATTTGGAAAGATTGGGGAAGAATTTCATAAGGGTTCTGTATCGAACTTCAGATAATGTTCTAGCTAAGAATGCTTACTTTTATGTGGCATTCATATTCAAGAATCCTGTCAATAACTTTCTCGTTATCCCGAGAGGGTTCAACTTTAATAGTGGTAGTGGATTTTGTTTATCTTCCACCTTTGGTTGTGATGTATGTTTACGTATTTTCATTGAAGCTGATGTATCTCTGTATAATGAAGGTTCCTGCATTCAATGGATTTGGCATATGCAGCAGCAGACCTTATTGTTTCTAGAGCTGGTGCAATGACTTGCTATGAGATTTTGGCAACTGGGAAGCCTTCCATTCTGGTACTTTTTTAAAGTTCTCTAATAAAACATTGGCGTCGGATGACCTTTATTGCTTGATTGTCTGACCTTCATGATATAAGAGCAAATTAACAGTCATTGTTTTTTCCTTTTTATCAGTTTTGATCGTGTTCTTAATAACTGTAATTACGTTGATTGTATTGCTTAAGGGGAAAATTGAGAATTGCTTTTTGAATTTTTAGATACCATCACCAAATGTTGCTGAAGGTCATCAGTTCAGAAATGCTTCTTTAATGGCGGACTTAGCAGGTACAAGGGTTATAACAGAAGATGAACTTGATTCAACAACTCTTTGGAGTGCAATTGAAGAGATATTAGGTATGTTCATTTTCTTGCCACAGAGTAGCAGTTTCTCCTAGTGTGGGAATCAGGGATAAGTATCGTTTTTATTCGTCATGCTGATACAAAAGATAATTTAGAGTCATGGAAAAATTAGTCTGCGGAAATAATTAAGATCCTTACGTGTGGAAGTGTTCCTATTGAGGGTCAGAACTTTGAAACACTTACTCACACCAAGTGTTTTTCCCTTACAGTTTGCGTATATCGTTTTGTAATGGAAGATGAAGTTATTAGAACTACATCAACCAGGAAGTGCATGTATTTCACCACTTGTAATGAAAAATTTACTAGATATGATAGATTAAAGATGAGTAACGTCATTTTGTTATGAAAAAGTAGATATCCGTATTTTTACCATCATTTCTTTTTTACAGGGGACGAGAGTAAAATGGCAGAGTTGTCCGAGAGGGCTCTGAAAGCTGCAAATTCGAATGCCTCTACAGAGATTGTACAGCGTGTTCTTTCTCTAGTCAACTTGTCAACAAAAAAAGAGAAGTAGAATTTGTACTCAGTGCTTGGCAGGACAAGGCCTGAAAGCTGGTTCCTCCGTTTCAAATTGTTGCAGTCGACGGAAGATGAGTTTGTTTGTTATATGCGGAAGCTTTGAGTGTTTCGTAGGTAGAACTTGAGGTCGTGAAATTGTCGATGAATGTAGTAGGCAGGCTAGGTTCCTAGAGTTTGTTTTTCACTTACTGCTTTAGCTTTTACCTAAATGAGTTGCCAAGTTGTTCCTTACATTGTTAGGCACTCCATTTTCATGCCAAATTAGAAAGAGTAATCCCACACGAAAGAGATTTCGATGGTTGTAGCTACTCTAGTTCTGTAACTAATAACGTGAGTGTACTTTCTCTCCACAATTTTAATAAACCCTTCTTTTTCCCCTATAATTCAAGAGCAGGAATTTCAAGGAGGTTTGTATCTTAGCTGATTAAGAGTATTCATTACTACACCTCTCGTGTTTGATTCCCTCCCCCTAATATCGCACATGTCAAAAAAGAGAGGGATTCGACAAGGGGTATGATATCCACACATCTTATTTTACTTCTCACACACCTTTTTAATTTTTAACCGTCAGATTAGATGAATTGAAGAATATCAACGGACATAAATTATCAAAGGACGTGTAAGAAGTAAAATAGGATGTATGGATAGCACACCCCATCGACAAAGTCCCCACAAAGCAAATTGTTTGTTTCAATTAATGTTTTAGTCCCCACAAAGTCAAAGTTGATGAACCAAATTGTTTGTTTCAATTAATGTTTTGTTTGTGGAGGAAGATAGACAAAGATGGAAAATGATTCTCTTCGGATTCACTTTGTTAGGATTCCAGGCATCTTTACATCTTAATCGTTCATCGTACATTGTGCGGTCAGTTTTCGTTAGATATTATTTATGTTTAATTTTAAATAAAAAAAATGTCAAATGATTTTTTACTGTATGATACACGATGAATGATTAAGATGTGGAGATCCCTAGGATCCATAAGAACTTTCTTGAGTACTGTGAAGTATCCGGTATTTAAATCCTTAAATTTTTGTTCAAAGATATAAAAAACAACAGCAAATGAAGTAGTTGAAGTTGCTGAACAAGCCACGATTGGTTGGTCGATGGTCCATGTCAAATACAGTGAACACTCAAAAACCTACATGATGAATGGCATCCCAATCCTCAAGATCCAAAAGGGTGATATCTTTCTTTCCCCATTTGAAACCAAACTAGTTTTTGAGTTAGTGTTGTTATCTTCACTTCAATATTTGGAAAATTAGCTAAAATAATCCAAATTCTTTAAACGGTGGACTGGTCAAAATTAAATATCAGTAATTGATTGATCAAATTTTGATGACATGACGATCAAATATTGACGATATACTGAAATTTGATTATTTTAGCAATTGGGATTTGTATAATGATCATTTGGCCACTTTTAAGTTCGACGCGATGACATATATTTGTTGTGAGTTTAATGTCTAATTGTGTCTGGAAGTTGCGATTAACACCCTAAAAACATCATTATGAACTCATATGTGTACAAAATTTTCCTTGTGTTTCTGATGAAATTGAAGCACACGATGACCTTTTTAGAGTAAAAATAACAATTCTCTTACGTCTAACCCCTTATAAACAAACTTTACTTCAATTTATACAACTTTGTTAAATAATATAAAGTTACAAACCATGTACGTTAGCGAAAAAAAATATATAGAAGTACATAAATTTGAGTATAACTTATAAAGCTCGCATTATCTCAACTAACTAACTTGACTTTAATCTCAATAATTTAAAATACTATGCAATTTTGTTAAATTGATGTTGATTTTTGGTAATCCACAAGGGGTGTGATATCCACACACTCTATTTTTTTTAATTTTCGGCCGTCATATCAGATGAATTGAAAAAGATCAACGCACAAAAATTATCAAATGATGTGTGAAAAGTAAAATGGAGTGTGTGGATAGCACACCCTATACAATGGTAAAAAGCTCATTTTAATTCAACATAAGTCAACAAAAGTAGAATGCTTCCAAGTTCCAACCAAACAACAAATTTAGGAGATATTTTTCATTATGATCGGAACACGGGGATACATTACGTGTTTTTATACAAGTGGTAGGAAATTTTATTTTTAAAATTATTAAGTTTTTAATATATATATCTTATCATTTATATAGTAACATGTATTGTACCATCTCGTGTACCTATCAAATTGAAAATTTTCTCCAAATTTATTAGGCGTTTTATTGTCCGGCAGGTCATGCCTCCTCCCAACTAAGGAAATTTTTCTGTGTGACGAGAACACATATGGTACACTACGTGTTTTTATAGAAGTGGTAGAAAATTTTATTTTTTAAATTATTATCTTTTTAACACACAATCACATCATTTGTATAATGACATATAGAATACTATATTGTGTACCGGTCACACCAAAAAATCTCTCCAAATAAAGGAAATTAACCAAATATTAATATATTATACACTTTCTCTCCTCCCTCCCGCGAAACGACCATTTCTTCTCCTCCAAAAAAACAGCAACCAAACACCACCAGAAAGAAAAACAACATGTCGTTTCTCGCTCCGCATTCGGATCTTCGTTCCCTGACGGCGAATCGTGGTACTGACCGTTGGTGTTTCAGCCAAATCACATGGCCCGACCCGAAACCCCAGCTGTTCCGGGTCTCTGCTCGTCAGAGTCCGGCGGCAAATGGCATCGCTTTGGATTTGAAGAAGAGAAAGGACCCGCGGTGGTCGGTTTGTACCGCCGACGAGCTTCACTATGTCTCTGTTCCAAAATCCGATTGGAGCCTCGCTCTCTGGCGCTACCTTCCCTCTCCTCAGGTCCTCTCTCTCCCTACCTCTCTCTCTCTGCATGTATGTATGTATGTATGTATGTATGTATGTATGGATGATTGATTGATTGATATCCAGGCGGAGCCAAGGAATCATCCGCTGCTGCTGCTGTCAGGACTTGCGACGAATGCGATTGGATACGATCTTTCTCCCGAGGTGAAGATTAAACAGCAGCATTATTATGTTAATCAAATTATTTTTGTGAAAACTGAAAACTTAATTAAAAAGTTAATATCTTTGAAATTTGAAATCTGAAAGGTAAATACTTTGCGATGTATAAATTACAGAATTCATGCTAGTAATTTCGGCTCGTTTAGGATTGCTTCTGTAGGAAGTGCTTTTAGTATAAACATGTCAAAAAAATTCTTAAAATTTAGGAAAGCATCAGGAAATGCTTCCTGAAGAAGTACGTAGCAGGTGCTTCTCTAGAAAGCACTTGTAGGACCCATACGCATTTTTTAAGTTCTTTGCCAAACTTGAGGGCTTTTGATTGTCATAAAACACTTTTAGCCGTTCCAGAATCAATCCCAAACAGTCGCTTAGCTTTCTTTGTTTGTAATTCGCGAGTCGTATATAAGACTACTGATACATAATTGTTTGTTGTTTAGTCCTCGTTTGCGCGCTCCATGTCTGCTGAAGGATATGATACATGGATTCTTGAGATGAGAGGTGCAGGGTTGAGCACATATGGTATGGACTTAGGGGCAGTGAAGCGGCCTCCCCATGCCATGTCCAAGCAGACAATTTCTTCGAATGGGACATATAATTTGGTGTCTCAATCGGATGAATTGCAACTAGTGAGAAACTTTATGGAGACCTTTATGCAATTATCTGAAAGATTATCAAGGTTTGCAGACTTCCAAGAACGTTTTTCTACTGCCTTAGAAGATTTCCAGAAACAGCTCGACTTAATTGTAAAGTGTGACTGGGACTTTGATCACTACTTGGAAGAGGATGTGCCTGTTGCGGTGAGGTGACATTCCCTTAATATGACTGACATCGAAATTTTGTTGTGTGTTGTTTGGAACAGTTTAGTTTTCTTAATAGGAACCACAGATTTAAGTTTTCATCACTGATGGCGTGTGTGTGTTTGTCTGTGTGCGATAACATGAAATTTTAATACTTTGATAGAGTGGTTATCTTAAACTTCATGTCATCTTAGATGGAGTATATAAGAACTCAATGCAAACCAAGGGATGGCAAGCTCCTTGCTGTTGGTCACTCGATGGGCGGTATCTTGCTATATGCAATGCTCTCACGCTGCTGTAAGTTGCCAGGCTAAACTTGTCGTTTTAATTATCGTGTCATTATCCTTTTATTATTGTTTATGTAGCAACTATAGAAGATCGATGTCTTTCTTGTACACTAAAATGACTACTTTTTTCTATAGCTTACCAAGGGCGAGATTCTGGGTTGGCATCAGTTGCTACTTTGGCATCATCGCTCGACTACACGCAGTCAAGATCTTCGTGCAAGTTATTTTTACCTCTGGCAAGTTATAAAAAAGAAAAATCTCTTTTCTGTTTGCTACAATAACTTTATTCTCGTGGACCAAAAATATAATGAGGAAACTTTAATCTTGCTGTGGTGCTTAGGCAGACCCAGCACAGGTTCTAAACGTTCCTGCCGTTCCACTTGGTCTATTTGCCACTGCTGTGCATAATCTTGGTACTCGCACTCCAATTTCGTCTTGGCTTAAGCTTCAAGTTTCTGCTCAAGGCATGATGCAGCCAGATTTGTTCGAAAAGCTTGTTTTAAACAACTTTTGTAAGTCAACATACACACTGCCATATTGCTGCATATATTGTTCCAAGCATTCAGAACTGCATTGTAAAAACTGCTTATAACTGTTTAGTGATTTGTATAACTGTTTGGCGAGTAATGCTATTCTTACCACAATTTTATACCACATTTCTTTACCATCTTAGGTGGCAAATGAGTTGGACAAGCTACATCATTTAATTTCAATTTTTTATTAATTAAAACACTTAAATAATCTTAGGTGGAAGAAGAAGACTTCTCGTATACCACAATCATCATTTAATTAACAATCTTTTTATTAATTATTGATAAACATTTTGAAATTAAATGCTAATTAATTTAAATGATGTTGTTGTCCACATCAGATGCCACCTAAGGTGGTATACTATTGTGGTACAAAAATATGGTAAGAATAGCATTATTGCTGTTTGGCTGGTTAGAAACGACCTTCAGGAGCTATGCGAAGCTTATAATTTTGGACCGATATCTGATCATAATCTGCAGGTACCGTGCCCGCTAAGGTTCTCTTGCAGCTATCAACACTTTTTGCGGATGGGGGTTTATGTGACAGGAGTGGAACTTTCTTTTACAAGGATCACCTTTGCAAAAGCAATGTCCCAATCTTAGCTCTTGGAGGCGATCAAGACCTAATATGTCCTCTCGAAGCTGTTTATGGTACAATGTTAATTCATCTGAACTGTCTGTCTTTAATATAATCTGTCCAGCGAACTAATTTCCTCTTTTCTAACCCCTCCCTTTCGTCCATGGGCTTGACTATGCACATGGAGTAGAAACAGTGAAGCTGATTCCCGAAGAAATGGTTACTTTCAAAGTTCTCGGAGAAGCCAGCGGTCCTCATTTTGCTCACTATGATTTAGTAGGAGGTCGCTTGGTATGAGCTATACATTTCTACTAGCACGATTAGTTAACATTGGATTATCGATGTGTTATTTGACCGCTGTTCCCTTTCCTTTCTCCATTGTCATGTTTAAATGCAGGCAGCAGATACAGTATATCCGCACATTTTCAAATTTCTCAATCGTCATGACAGGACCTGATTTCTTCATTTTAGTTTCCCTCTGTGGCCCGAAACCCGTGAACCTTAAAGCCATGCAACCAGATGAAGATAACCCCAGAAGGAATTCATAGCCGATAAGCATGGCGAGCGAGGTACCCTCCGAACAGGCCTTCACGTATACGAGTATGTTGTAGACGGATCGTGTTACGATTTACACAAAGTTGTAAAGGAAAAGATGTATATGACAACAGAAACTTCAAAGTTCAGAAAGATTGTAAGTTATGAGTAAATGTTAGAACTTAGAATGCTTGCAATTTGACCATAAGAATATACTTGTATTACAAATGTATCCTTTGGCAACGAGAACTTCTAAGCAAGCTTCCTTTCGAGGTCATTTCTACTACAAGCGGTTTTGTTGGTTTTATCTTCTGGATTTTTAATAAATATTCCAAGTGATTTTCTTTTTTTTTTTTGGGTAAAGACCACGAAGTATCCCCACACCCCCGGGGGTGTGGCGCTAATCTCCGCTCGAGGTTCGGCATGCCTCTGGCCACAAAGTGCTCTCAATTGGTTTCGAACCCTTGCCAGAAGGGCGCCAGGGAATCCACTAATTGAAGGTGACAATTGTGTGTGAGAAATCAGTGAGATTTCAAATTTACATCTTCCATTGGAGTATTAACTCACATTTATCTCTCGAAGATATAAAGTGATATAAATATGGTTTCTGTCCATTGAAAACGCTCTTACAACCTAAATATGCTTTTCGATTTTCTAACAAACGTAGTTAGAAACGCTTTTGGCTATATGAAACCACTTCAACCGTTTTACGAACAATTCCAAATAGGCCGTTAAACTAATACTAGACTAACGAAATATTTTGCACATTGATATGAAGAAGAAAGCACGAACTAACCCGCCAAATTAAACTCGCCATTCTTATTGTATATAACCAATTCCCAGATGAATAATGTTTGGCTGCTGAAAAAAGAGCAGTAAGCGACGTTGGCTCAAGTTTTCGTTTCTTTAAATGTTTGGCCACGTATGCCTTTGCGATTGGGCACTTGTCCATTTCAGCACGACTTGCGGTTCTTCTTTCTGCAACCAAACATCATTCTTCCCAAATTATTTTTCTTCCGAGAAACGCCTTCACGGCGTCGAATATTCCGCCCCGACCGAACAAATCGTATAAACACCAGCGTTCACTCAACAGAAACCATCATTTGAAAATTCAAGCAATCAATAAATTCATATTGGGCAGGGAAAGCCACATTAACAGACTGTAATATATTTTGAGTGTTATGACCACTGTTCAATTTCATGACACTGAAACTCCAACTTCAAAGTAAGCAAATAAAGTTGGAACCTTCAAACCAAAGAATGAATACTTGCCCGTGTATTGGAGACGAACGCCGGGAATAACAGCGACCCGAAAAACGCCAGTACCGAAAGGGATACGAAGATTTCACCAACCCTAGCATCTAGATATTGCTTCGACCTTGCAGAAAGGGCACGTATTCTTTTGTGTGAGCCACTGTTTTACACATTGTAAGTGGAAGTTATGTCCGCAGTGCAGTTTGCCCATCTCGTCATCTGCTTCGTACTCCTCCTATAAGGATCGAGTAATTACAGATTAAGAAATGAAAAACCGAAAAAGGATAATGATTTCTAAGAAATAATCTCTAGAGTTTTTACAAACTCACCTGACAAATGATGCATTTGCTTTCTACTTTCGCAGATGAGTGTGATGTCGCATCACTCGACGTTGGAAGCTTAATCTTTCGAAGGCAGTGGTTTATTTCATCTTCTTTTAATCCAGTACTCACGTTGCCAATTCTCTCGCCTAACTCGAGCAGTTGCTGTTATCGGCAAAGAAAGGAAGCAAAAAACTATGAGAGAATGTAGAAACAGAAATGCATACATTACCGACTTTAGGTAACCGAAATGTAAAAACGTTTGGAACAAAGATGAAGTTTGCGAAAAGGTACCTCATATGACATGCTATCAACATCGAGTCTCCAGTCACGGAATCTATCCATTCTTCCACCCATCATAAGACTACTTTGAAACAGCATAATCTGCAATCACCAAACCGTCAAACATACGTAATGTTAATATGTTCTTTATCGAATTTGTTTCCACCGTCAAAGATGCATATTATTTAGATTTCTTGCCAAACCAGAGCAAGGATATCAGAGACCTTATACTAATATTGCTACATGAAACAGATTTTAGTGCCAAACCAAGTGAGAGACGGAACAGGCAAAAGCAAAAGTAAAGCAAATAGAAACACTCACCTCTGCAAGGCCTTCAGGGGATGGATGCCGGACATGCCGAAAACACCTACTTCCAAATACCTCTGATTCAGGGCGGCTCGAGACAAAATCCGGTTCAGAATCCAGAAACGAGATGGTTTCGGGGCTCACGTTTCGCCTTGCGAAACAAGGACGCTGCCATCAAGTTTAATCAAACAAACAAATTAGATATGTAACAAGAATTTACACATCACAGAAGCAGAAAATTAAGTTGATATTCACTTCAGTATTTAGAGAAAAACAAGGAAAAATCCTACACTAAACGAAATCCGAGAAGACTAACACAATCTAATCATAAATATATATCCCGTTTAGTGTGGGATTACAAACTAGGCCGGGTCCCAAACTATGAGAAAATTTTCGAGAACACGGCGTGGTACACTGACAAATCTCTCCTAAACTACGCAAATTAATACGTGCACTTGTTAGGAGAAAATCAAAAGGTGTAAATTCAAGGCAACTCTTAAGTGCCCAAGAAAAATCATAAAACCAAACAGATCAAGAGCCTAGCTTTACCAAAATAATTAAGGGAAAAATTAATGAGATAATAATCCCGTGAAGCACAAGATTTACAGAAAATCAGCTTTAAATACAAATCCTAATGTATAAATGATCAAAGACCACCATCAATGCAGCATATCCTCATCAAGCACCAAATAGCCATAAAAGCTGTCAGTCGAGGGTCAGGCTAGTTGGCTACGACAGTTTGTACGTCCCTTCAAACACCCAATTCGAATCCCCCTCCCTTCTCTTTTCGTAAATGAGAGTAATTTAGAATATTGCCTCTTTGTAAATCAGAGTAATTTAGAATATCGCCTCGTAAAAAAAATTACTCAAGTTCAAATCCCGTCATAGTTTTGATTATGTTTTTTTTATTAGATTACAATATCGCTTGAATAAAAAACAAATAAATAAAAAATAGTAATCCCAACTCATAAAAAATAGAATGGCACAAATTAGAAGCATTAAATGAAGATATTGACTGCAAAAATAAAAACTTATCAGTTTTTACCTCCCTGTGGCTGCTCATGTGGCTGCTCATCTTATTATTATCCCCATAAATCTTGCCTCTGCCGGAGACATTCCTCCTCGCCACCACGCAATCCACCGAGCCCGCAGTTTCCGGCGAGAACCCAATTCCGGGGCCGCACCAAACATCCTGAAAATCCACACAAGTTGCAGAATTTATACCAATGGTGGGCCCGCCATCACCGACATCCCGGTATTCATTCTTCTCGTTGCTAGCGCTGCCCTTGGCGGCGGCGCTCTTCTTCTCCTTTTTCTTCTTCACCTTCTTTCCCTTCCAATCGGCGGAGTTCCGAATCTCCTCCGGCACCGAGACTTGCTGCGAGGCGGAGGCGGCGCAGCCCAGGCCTCTGAACGACGACGAGGGAAAGTTTGTCTTTTTCTTGATGGTAAGGCTTGTGGGTAAGGCTTCGTTGTTGTTGGTGGTGGAGGTAGTGAAGCTGGAGAGGAGGAGGGAGGAGATGGTGGATTTGCAGCGGGTGGATTGGAGGGGGGAGGTGGCTGGATCCGTTTCTGAAATGGGTTGGTTGAATTGGGTTCTGGGTCTTCTCCATTTCATGTGCTCTGCTCCTGCAGTTGAGCTCTCTGTGAGAGGCATGGTTGCCTAGACAGAGAGGGAGGGAGGAGAGAGAAGGAGTAAACTGGTTTGGTTTGAGAGGAGAGAAGAATAATGGGGTGGTGAATTTAAGTGGAGACAATATAGAAAAAAATATAGGATAGAATTTGATTTTAAATTTTTTATATCTGTTTTTTATTTGTATTTGTTGACTTGAGATTAAGTATTTAGATTGTTGTGCTAGGAAGTACTTTTGTCCTAAAATGCTTATATTAGAAGTACTTTCATTTGACAATCGTGCTCGAAAGTAGGAACATAGAAGTACTTCACGAAGAAGTAGCACTTAGCACGTACTTCTTTAAAAAAACATTTATTTAAATAGCATTTTTACAATTCAGAAATGCTTTTTAAGTTTTTTTTTTTTTTTTAAGATATGAGTTTTTAATTTTAATTGTGGGAATGGCTTCTTTAGGTGGGTTATGGTTTGTCTTCTTGTTGGATTTTGAGGGTATATGCCATCGAATTAGATCCTCTTCGGATCTCTTCATAAGGAATTCCGAAGATTAATTAATAACAATCGTTCATAAAAAATCGTGTGATCATAATTTTTTATTTTTATATTTTTCATGCAAAACAAAACTATTTTACTTCTGAAAATATAAAAAGCATTCAATTACAACTGTACAACTTTTGACGAACAATTGGTGTTAATTGATCCTCTGGATCCCAGTGAATAGATCGGAGATGATCCAATTCCTATGCCATCAAGCACTGCAGACAAGGGAGCCTCTGGTACCAGAGTAAAATTTTCGACTTTTGCTTTCTTTTTTCTTTAAAGCCAGCTGCTTCTCAAAAAAGTCAGTTGATGCTTTCTTATCATCGAACCCAAACCCAAAGACTTAATTGGTTTTTGAATTTTAACGTATTTTTCTGTATGTCTCTTTCTACGGTGGTTTGAGGCTTTGGAGACAGACACAGGTCTAGTATATAGACAACAGAAAAAATGTCGTCTGCGTATGTACAGATGTGTGTGTTACTGTGGTCAGCATTTGTAATGGTCCCACTGCCAAATCACAAGGTCGAAATTCGGATTTGGATCCTTTCCTGAGCTTGGGAGGCGGAGCCTTCTGAGCAAATCACACGGATCGTTAGATTCAAAATCCAACGGCTACAAATAGAAGGTCATTTTAAAAATTATAATAATTGTAGCCGTTAAATCAAAATCTAATGGCACATGTGAGTTGCTTAGGAGGCTCCGCCTCCCAAGATTAGGATAGGATCCAAATCCGTCGAAATTCATCACTTTTGTACAAGAATTTACATATTTTTCACTGAATTACGTCACTACAGTTGTATTTTGAATTAGACATGCATCGCGATTTATGAAAGTTAAAAAATATAACAAGATATGATAGACTTAAAATAGTTGTAATTAGAGTTTCTATTTCGAGAAGTCTTTTTTTTTCTTTTTTTTTTTCTGGTTAGATCAAATTAGATGCAATCTCATGTGAGAGAGGACCTAACTTTGACT